TGCGGCGCGCCGTCGACGGCCCTGCGTCCCCTTCGGTGGGGAACGCCCTCGGGTTGTGGGCGGCGACCCTCGCGCGGCGGGTTTTCGTCACCGTCGCGGCGATCGCCTCGGCGGCGGATTTGGCGCTGCGGGCGTTGGTGCGCTGCGGCGGGGCCCCGTTGGCGGTGGCGCGGTCGATTCTCGCGGCGTTGGAGACGGGGACGCAGGCGGAGCTGCGGCGGCGGTGCCTGGGGTACCTCGTCCTGAGCCTCGTCTCGTCCAACGACCCGGTGGTGGTGCGGCGACTGGGGCATTTGGTGATGGCGCCCGCGCAGCGATATGTGCTCATCGGGGACGCGAGGATTCGTAAGATGTCTCGGGCGTTGTGCATCACTCTTCGGGAGGTTTGCCACGTGGAGCTCAGCGTGGATGAGAAAACACTCCAGCTGATGCAGGTGGAGAAGAAGAATTTGCTGCCTTTACTAAATGTTCCCAGAGAATTGGAAAAGTTGCTCTTTGGACCACGCAACGAAGGGTCTCCCTCACATACCGGTTCTCTGTCCGACCCCGTAGGTGGTCTAAAGTCTTCCTCCGATGACTATCAATTAGGGATGGAGGCGGGGAGCCCCCTCGCACGCCATCCGGCCCGTAGGGTTGTTTCCCGGGAAAGTCAACCTCAACTGCCCTCAACGAATCGAATACGACTACCTGAAATTATAAAGAAGAAGAAAACACAGGTGACTGAGGAACTAACGGCCGTCCCTGAGGACTCTTTTCGAGGTGGTCATTCCAATTTCTCGCTGAGAAGACATGACATCTATAAAACAGATGCCGAGTTGCTTTCAATGGATGGAGAAAGTGGGGGTGGTCGAATTCCACAGTCCGGGCAAGTGAAATTTGTGTTAGCGATGCCTAAACGGGGTGCCACCGCCCTTCCCGAGGTGATGGCGATGAGAAAAGAAACTGCTCAAGCAAATGCAGAGAATACACTTAGCCGGAGCGTCGGGAATTGTACTTTATCGGACCTGGAATTTGCCTCTCTGAAGCATGCGCAGAGTGTTCCCATCGCATCGGGTTTATTAGATGTGTCGAATGTTCGACAGCGGTTATCAGGTAATAGTGCTGCTGGCTCCAGATCCCGCATTGTTCCTCTTTCTTTAGCACGCACTTCCGTGGGTGGCTGTGATGTTGACCACAGCGTCGATGGTACAGGATGCAGAAATAGTGACTACATTCATGAGACATAGACGGATCCTCCTGAACCGCGTCTGAGCAATTCACCTAAACCAAAAAATAGAGGGGCTAAAGCCTTGATAAAAGATTATATGGGACTACACTGATTTGTAATTTTGCGGATTGCCCTACACCACGGTGCAATGTTATAACCAATAATGTCCACATACTATCAGTCATGGTTTTAGATTTTATATTAGTTGCCATAGTACTGTATTTAGAATTTTAAAAGTCCTTTATCCTCCATCAGTTTTTGCTATTTTAATTTTGTATTGTATGTTTCTACCTAATTGAGGTCATGCATGTGTATAGTACAAATATGCACTCATTTTAATAGTGTGGTGCGTCTGCATTTTTCTTTTTTCATGTGTGAAAATATCTTCTATTTGATTTTAAGATGTAAAACGTCTCTTTATCCTTTTCTTCTGTCTGCTTCTAGGTATTAACATTTTTGGTGGTCGCGATCTCAGGAAGTTTTCTTGGGCATAAGGGTAGGCCAACTTGCTAACCAGTGTGGATCGATCTACCTGAGCTACGTAAAGAGGAAAGGGGTGAGTGAATAGCCTACCTAAAAGGGGTCATCGGCATGAGTCTCAACGGAGAACCACTGAACAAGCGAATCAAGAGCGAAGGGGCCCCTGCGCAGCAGGCGGATCTCGGCTCCGTATTGCCGTGGGTGGAAAAGTACCGTCCACGGACCCTGGCCGAGGTGCAATCCCAAGATAGTGTAATCAGTGCCCTACGAAATTGCTTACAGGAGGGTGCCATGGTACCCCATTTTCTATTCTACGGACCACCAGGGACGGGTAAGACAACTGCGATTCTCGCCGTCGCATACGAGCTTTTTGGACCTGATTACATATCCAGTCGTGTGCGGGAGCTAAACGCTTCGGACGATCGAGGTATAAGCGTGGTTCGTGAGAAGATCAAGGTTTTCGCGCATTCATCTGTGGGCAACGTCTCTCGCAAAACTGTTCAGTCGGACGGTAAGATCTATCCTGTACCTTCTTTCAAACTCATCATTTTAGACGAAGCCGATGCGCTTTTGCCAGACGCGCAAGCCGCCTTGCGTCGAATGATGGAGGACTACAGCGACGTGACCCGCTTTTGTATTTTGTGCAATTACGTCAGCCGGATCATCGACCCCATCACGAGTCGCTGCGCAAAGTTCCGTTTCCGTCCGTTAGTAAAGGAAACCCTCTACGCCCGCATCCGGCAGGTCGCTGCGGCGGAGGGCATCACGCTCTCGGACTTCTCGCTCGAGGCCCTTGACAAGGTGAGCGACGGGGATATGCGAACTGCGATTATGTACCTACAGTCCGCCCACAAAGCGCACGGCCTAGATCTGACAAAGGAGGACTTTGTGTCTAGCTCAGGTGCCTTGCCACCGGAGGTCTTCAAGCCATACGTCGAGGCCCTCGTCCGCAAGGATAGGGATGGTATGGTACATCAAACCAGTGGCGTCGTTTCACAGGGCTTCGCTGCTGCGCAGGTACTAGCTCAGCTCCATCGCTATCTTGTCGGCCGAGAATGCCCCTTCAATTCGATACAGCGCGGGAATATAATGTTGAAGCTTTGTGAGGTTGAAAAGCGCCTTTCAGATGGCTGCAATGACTACTTGCAGCTTTTAGATATCGGTAATGCCATATGCACTTTATAGAATATATGAATAAACAGTGTGATTTTCGAGGCGCCTGTATCGGGGGTTTTCTATCGGGTTGCTTTTTATGCATTAAGAAAAAGCATTGATCTGACAACCTGCGTCCAGGTTCACGAGTACTAATCTTACACATAGAGAGTTCAATTCTCTTTTGCGCGTGTACTTGTCTTTGTGCTGATGAAATAGTGTGTAAAATCATCGCGATCATTGCGCAATCGTTAATAACACCCGATGGGTTCTTTTTGCCATTAAAAGTTTCAAATCATGATGAGTTTTATTATAGCTTAAAATCGTATTATACACGTCTTGCGTTCTTTGTTCTTGTCCAACATTTTCGGAACCCTTCCGTTAGACCTTTCAGTGATCTCAGGATTTTAGTATATCGATCTTACACATGAATATGTTACAAGCACAACAGAGGAAGAGGGTATTCCCATCAATGTATTCATGATGACTTTTCCGAGTTTCCACAGGAGGGGGTTTCTCAGGATTTATTGCCATACGCTTCGCACCACGAGTCCCCATTGCAACTACTTTGGAATGCGTAAAAATATGAGTGATGGGGAGGTAACGTGCTTTACGACAAAGCTTTCGAATACGAAGGTTTCACTTACTCCGTCAATGTAAGCTTGGGCATCGTTTAGGGCAAAGAAGTCATTCCACCTAGAACTAAGATGAATGATGTGAAGATATTCCATAGGATCAATCCCTGCGACATCGAATTTATCGAATCCCTTGCGCTCCGTCGTTGAAATTAGGACATACGAATACTACCTTTGTGTTTTATAGAAGTAGTCCAAACGTGGGGATTTGAAGTGTTTATCGGAGTAACAACCCCTCAAAACTGAAGCATGGCAAGCATTTTCTTCGTAGAGAAAGCTAACCTACCCGTCTTGTCTTCATTTCTATGAGTCAAAATTGATTATCTGAAGGCACATATTCTCCATAAATTCTGAAGCAAAATGACTTAACAGCTAGCCGACATCTCGAAAAGTGAATGCTGGCAAGTAACAAACCTTTGAAGTCATGAATATTTTTTTTTTTCTGGACGCTTCAATCTTAGAGCTATTCATGCATTATAGTCTAGTATGAGCTCTATCGACCGATAATTTGGGACTGATGCTTTATTTGTTATCATAGTGACTCTCATTGCCTATATCTTGATACAGATAAATGCGTCAACCTGTGAATTATATATATATGTATATATATAACCTTTCAATGTTCTGAAGTTTGAGTTTCTATGTGCTGATGATGGAGATTTTTAATACACACCTCGATGAGCCTAGGGCAAACTAAACGATTCGTCTTTAAATCTTGTCATAATCTCCTTTATTTGTGTGCCTTAAGTGACAATAAGGGTAACCCCATAAGTTAGTAAATAATTTATTTTCGACACGGAGGATCAAAGAAAAACGTCATAATGAGCGGCCCTAAAGATGGAAGCAACGAGATTCAGTTCGTCACGGACGCTGATATGGACGCCGAATTGGAGGAAATGCGCCTCCAAGTAGAAAGCCTCCAGGAGGACCTCCAGCTCAAGGCCTTGCAGGATACCGCGGCAAAGGAGGAGGGCACCCGCAAGACGGCCATCGCGACCTCCGCGTCCGGCTCCGGCGCGGGGAAAGGGAACGCGTCCGTCTTCGTCGCCGGCTTTGACGCCCGCACGACGGAGGCGGATATCCGCGTCTTTTTCTCCTCCTGCGGGGCAGTGGTGCGCCTGACGATGCTGAAGGATCGCCACACCGGGCAGCCCAAAGGCACCGCCTACATCGAGTTCGAGACGCAAGAGCAGGCGCAGGCCGCCATCCTGAAGGACGGCCAGACCCTCCATGGCAAACCACTGAAGGTGGCCCCGAAGCGGGATAACGTCCCCGCCTTCCAGCGCGGGATGGGGATCCGAGGGGGACGGGGTGGTGGCCGCGGCGCGGCGGCGATGACCGCCGTGGCGATGCTCGCTTCGATGATGGGTGGTGGGATGGGCTTTAGTCCGTATGGCGCCTCACGAGCCCGCGGGCGCGGGCGCGGACGTGGAGCTCATTAGAAGGGGAGACACTTTTTTCCCTTCCATCATGCCAAGGGAGGGCATGCTATCTGTAAGCGAGCATAACCATGTCTACATATGTGGATATATAATTATGTACGTCGAATTCCGTGACCGTTTTGTTCTAAGCTCTGGAATGTGCATGCATTTCCCTTTATCCTGTCAACTTTTTGATGCAGATCAGGAAGCTTTGTTCGGCCCATCTTTGTCAGCTTAATTCTTTTTGAAAGGAAGCAAGACGAAGAAGAAAAGGGAAGCCGTTCCATTGGCTCTAACTAGATGAAACGTGGGGCAGGAGCTAAAAAAAGAGGAGAAAATCACGGAGAAGTTATCTTTAGGGAGATTGAGGGGCCGAATTTTTCCGTTTTTTCACCCCAAAGACAAGGTTACAGAAAAAGAAAAGAAACCAAAAAGTGCTGAAAGTAGGAGGAGCAGTAAGCTGTTACTAACATAAAAAGAAGCTAAAGGGGTGCTTTATAGAGTCCAAACTCTTACCTAACTGGTGCCGCCAGCTCTCCTTCTTTTTTCCCTTTCGACTGTTTTGGCGTGGAGAACTTCAAGGAGGGGGGAGAAAGTGATAATTATTGCGGCTTCAGATTATTGATTTACAGGAGTGATGGTGAGCCTTTAAACAGGCTCCTTATTATTCCGATTTTCTTTCCCCACTATTTCGTTTCTTCACAGGGCGTCTTAATACTTCATTGAACTTGCCATATGCCCCGCTATATTCCAAAGTGTTCAGTGTTTCCTCCCCCCTGAACGCACAGTTGTGATTCACCTTTTTTGACTTCACGTGAAGCCCCTGGTAATCCGACGTTTCCCTCAACCCAATCGGCATTGCAGACTTATGCGATAAGTTGTATTCTCACATTTCTTGTATCATGCCCCTGATTTGTCAAGCAGCGGCGATAATGCAAAGGCATGGGTGGATGGATGAATGAATGACGCAGACAGCCAGGTCGAAGGTTATTTTTATGAAGAATGCCTGAGAGTAGAAAAAGCATCGGCGTCATGGTCGTTTGCGATGCGATCCGTGAGGATATTGTGGACATGCTTCGGTGCGACCAATCCCAAAATTCGGCACAGCAGATGCAAGTGTTAGAGCTAGAGGGAAAATAATCTTCTATTTTCTTGCCATTATCCCCTTATCCTAATCGGTTCAAATGGGTCTGATTTCTTATTTACGTGGACACAACAGCGATTAATTTTATGCTTCATCGTTGCTCTCTTCCTTTTCTTTTTTTCTTCAGATAACATTGTTACCTTTTAGTTAATTTTTGCATTCTTTGAGTACCCTTATATACCTAGCGTACACGTTAGCACACACACACACATACACACATAAAAAAAAAACCCTTTATCCATGTTCGGAATTCTTTCACTTTTCAAGGATGCCACCGTCTATGAGATCATAGCTTGGCACAGACCCGTTGCCTCTGCCGTTGTGCTAGGTAGCATTCTCAGCTTTTGGCTCCTTTTTGTGTATTGGCAATACACAATCTTGACTTTTCTGTGCAGGTGCATTCAACTCGTGTTCCTTTTAGGAGCAGCTGCTACCGCCACAAAGAGCAATGTTGTGTATTCGGACTTAACTGGAAAGATGGACGCCGCATACGAGTCCATTCGGCCCTGTGCCGCGAAGATTCTTGGGATCTTCGTGGATGTGGTAATCTGGCGCGATGTTATGTTCTCCGCGAAAGTCTTCGGGGCCTCCCTTGTGATGGCCTATATTGGGAATTACATCTGCGATAGCACCTTCATCCTATTGGTGACCATTATTTCCTTTTCAGGGCCAGTATTGTATGAAAAGAATAAACCCCTAATTCATGATCAATTGCGAGTTGCAAACAGATACGTGAATCAATACATTGGAGTTCTTCGCACAAAGGGAGAACTACTGAAGCAAAAGGTGCGCCATGTTGATGCTAATGCCGGAGTGAAGGCGCAGGCGGAATCCAAGCTTGATGAGCTCTTTCGCAAGAACCAATAACCGTTATCATTCATTTGTTTGCTAATATATAATAATGAAGGCTCAACGCAATAAAGGTAGCAATACATATATACTCACGTACACACTCGTATCTTTTTCCCAATTTAGGCACTTTTTTGAGGTATTGGACTGTTTATGCATTACTTGGTCTTCTGGGGTAGTTGAACTTTTTCTATTTTAAGAGTAAGTTTTTACTCATGTGATTTGCAATTATTTTCCGAGTCGTACAGGTTTTTATGTGCATTTCAAAGCACATGAAACACAATGAAATCTCTAGAAATTAGATAAGGGAAAATAAAGCAAGGTGTTTTTTTGAATTCGATAACATAATAATCTTTTATTTGGTGAAAATATATCGGATTAAGCATTTTGAAAAGGGGAAAAAAGAATTACCAATAAAAATGGCGCGCCAGAGGAGACATAAAAGAAGTGTTTCAGTCTTGGATTAAGGTGATCATACAGATAGTAGTCAATATCAAGACTTGATAACAAAAATGCTTTTATTCTATTTTATTTTATTTTATTTTATTTGCATCTTCTCTAAGTGCCTTAGTGCTTATTTATAAATACATATACGCTTTTATATAGATAAATATTACCTAGGGTTTCTATATTACTTTAATTACAGAAACAAAGATGCTCAGTGAATGGGGAGATCATTTTTTCCGGATTTTGTAAGCAAGCATTGAAATTGAGACCCGTACTTATTTTGTAGTACTTCTGAGATTTGGGCTGATTTTTTCTTCATCTTTTTTTCTCGATTCCTTTTCCGAATCATACATTAAAATTAATTACAAATATCGAGGGTAAACAAATAGATGGGTTAATATTCACAAACCGTTTAGTTTGTTTTCTTAATATCATAGAACTCGTTGACTGCGAGAGTTAAGGAATTCATACATATTTTTTACCAAGTTGATATATATATCTCTATATACATATATATCCACATAAATAGAGAGTTTCAATAGGCTATATATAAAGTGTGAATTGACTTAATCGCTATGGAGTATGTCGATTGTGTTCGCCGTGGTACTAATGATATTGATAATGCAGTAGCTCATTTAGATGAAACAAGGGTCCAACTCCTCCTTCTTAAATTCCTTCTCGGCGGTGGCACTTTTAAACGAACCAAGTTCTTGTACGTGATTTACACAGGGCCTAGGTGTAACATCGTTAAGCGGGGACGGTGCGTTGAGAAAATCGGTAAATTTGTGAGCGAGCATCTTAAAGGGGTTGCCGGTCTTTCTGCTACAGACAAAGCCTCCCTTTCTTTCGAATCATTAGTCAGTCAGTTCAAAAAAATGTTTATTGTTGATGATGGGGAATTCTCGATGGCTAAGATTCGTCAAGAGCACCTGAATCGTATGGAGGAAGACAAAGCGAAAATGCATCAAGAAAAAGAATATGAGCGCAAAATAGCTCGACTGAGAGCAATTCAGGCACGTAGAGCGAGACGGCGTAAAAAGCCAGAAACCATCCTTGGAAAGTGTATTGATCAAAATGACGACGAGTCAGGCAATAAAACGAAGAATATTATGACTGCCATTCGGGAAGAGAATAATACCGTAAATTGGGTTGTTTTCTCTCCAGATCCTGTAAGGCTCCAGGCGGTGAGCCACGGTTGCGGTGGTATATTTGAATTAGTCAAAAACCTTCCTGACGACAAATGGCTCTTTGGATTATTCAACATCACCTTCTCAAACCCCGAAGGACGCGTGAGGCGCCTAATATTTTTCCAGTGGATTGGCAACAGGGCAAAGATAGTGCGTGACCGACGTACCTCTGCCGTCTACCCCGCTATGAGCAAGCTTCTCTCGCCGTATTCATATGAAATCTATTTGGTTGGGAAGACTGACCTTGTGCCAGCAGCAATTATTAGCAAATGCAAGAATGCCTTTATTGATCAGAAAAGTGAACCGAAAAATAAGCGAAACAAACCAACCAATTCTGTGCTTGACGAAAAAAACTATACGGAGACATTGATAGAGGATCAGGAACATGTGCTTTTTGATTGCAAAGAGTTTCAACCTGAGGAAAAACAAGCTGATATGGGACTCGTCCCCATGGATTGTCCCGAGATGAGCACGACAACTTTAAGCGATTCGTTTGATAGCTGCACAGAACTCTACGATACTGAGGAGACATTGCGTTTTTTAATGTCCCCTGAGGGTGGCCTGGTATGGGCTATCTTTGAGGTAGCCTAACGCAGTCCTATTCATTTATCCCAAATTATACTGGGGAATCCCACTAAGCACAATGATACGTGATTGTGGAAGGTATTTCTTTCGCTACTGTTCTATATTTCAGGTATTTTCAACGCATGGGCATACCTATTCAAATAATAATCCTAATATATATATTTGGCCATGTTTTTATCCCATTTGTCCATAAAAAAAATGATGATGCTTATTCACATTGGTTCTTCTTTTTGTATTCTACTGTTTGATTTCTTAATTGATTAAGATTGCTATACTATGGAAGTTTTATCCAATTGCAAAGTATTTCTTTGCCCCCAAAATATGTGTATGCATTATTTCCTTTATCGTTTCAAAGTCAACTGTTGAAATTATATGCTTTTTTGTATTTCTTTGAACATCCTTCTTATATTCAGGCTGTGTTAGAGCTAAAGAGAGTGGAGGTGAGAAAACAAAGGAGTTATCTGATGCTTTCGTTTAATTTTATGAAGCAGAGTTGAATGTTGTCTTTATCCATTTCAATGCTGTGTGCTATATATAGAATTTTACTGAAAGCATTTTTCTTATTAGTATCAATATTTCTCATCGTACAATTTACAGAACTTTGCGTATGTGGACGGCGAAATATCAAAAAAACTGATGCAGTATCATTATATCAAAAGTGATGGTATGCAAATGTTTTTCAATATTTTCATTCATATGTGCCAATTTGATGGATGAGAATTTCTATTTCTACAGGTCCTTATATGTGCCTTTTGTTTCCAGTGAACATCCTTTGTGTTAGATTCATAGTAATCTCAATAAAAGGGAGGGATAAGTTCGCCCAGGACATCCCACATATTTAATAGACCTTCGCCCTACTTGTATGGGATTTTGTTTTTTCAGACTTCATATCATTTATAACTTACACGACAGTATCGGAATCGCTTTTTAGACGAGCTTAAAAACAAAGGGCAAATAGATCATGCACGAAACTTCTGAAGGCTTTCATTCAAGCACTGTCCCGATGCAAGGTCTTCAGTATCTTGCATCTCCGTCCTTGACGTCATCTCTCTTCAAGCTTAAAGCAAACTGTACTGAGGGAATCTCCAGTGATGAGGGGACTGGTCAGCTGCCTCATCTCAAAAATAAGTTGAATTCGTCGTCGGTTCTACAAGACACATTTCCGCAAAGCAGCCTTTCTCACACGCTATCTGGGCTGGGCCCCTCGGCTCGTCGTTTACTACTACTAGACTCGGCGGGAGACGGAATCGTCAAGAAGAAGTCATTACCAATTTCGGCGAAAATAAACAAACTGAGCCAACGGTCTGACTCTGCTAAGCGCGCTGCGACCTTCGTAGGACCACTGAGGGATAGTGGCACTTTGCACAACGCTAGCCCTACTCCTCAGGAGACTAATAACGAGGGTCTGAGCAAGGATCAGCAAGCCTGCTCAACCGTGCCCGCATCACTTCTTTTTTCATCCAACAAGAGGATTGTTGGCAATGAGCGAAGTGTGCAGAAGAAGATGAGGACTTTATGCCGAGCGCATCGTACGTCTTTTTCGTCTATTGATCCCACAGAGCACGGCAAGACGGATTCCTTTTCCAAGTGGAGTCTGGGTCGTAGAAAAGGAAACGACGCATCACCGCGTGCGTATCCCGAGATGTGCTCTACCCTAACGCATTCGAAGGCGGCGTCGGAGCCCATCTTAGTGCATGAACTCCGCCGCTATCTTGACCAAGAGCTCCTTTTTGTCCATAGCAGAGGCGCCTCGCAGCAGCAGCCGGTGGATCTCCTGGGCCCGTACCGTGAGGCCCTTGGAGTTCTGATTAACGCCCTTCCTGGGTACGCCGGGATCCTTTGCGATATTCGCACCGCCTATGATAATGTGATCCAATACCAGGCCGAGTTATTGACGGAGGCGTACGCTCGAGAGGAGGTGGCGGCTGCTTCCGGCAACCAGCATCGCGAGGGTCTAGTGGCGCTGCGGCAGGCAGTCTCTCTTTTAAAAAAACAACTCGAGGCGGCGGAGGCCGAGCTCGAGGAGCGGAAGAAGTCTGAGGAAGACAATTCTTCTCAGCAGAAGTCTTCCACAAGCTACCGAGTCCTCGATGTTATTGAACTCCGAAGAAACCTCGAACAGGCTCAAAATCGTATTCGGGAGATGGAGCGCACGAGCAAGGAGGATTTGGAAAAGATTGTGGTGCTCGTCGGAACCGTGCGGGAGTGCGATCGGCGCATGAAGGATTTAGAAACCTCCATTGAGGGCATGACGCGGCATATCGCGGAGCTGAATGAGTTCAAACAACTCGCCGGCGAGGCGCAGAGCGACCTGCAACGGTACAAGGAGAAGTACGCCGCCTTTGTCGCGGCCTCGGACTTCGAGAGCATGAAGGAGTACCTGATCGGGGAGGTGGAGGAGGCGAAGGCGATGATCCGCCGCATGCGGCGCTCCGTCGCCGTGCGGGGCACCCAAGTCGACATCATGAATCGCCGCGTCCTCCACCTCGAGGCGGTGCGGAGTGAGCTGCACCACCATCACCCGGAGGACGACCACACCCTGTTGACGCCGCGGCCGGATTGGGCCGCCCTCCATGAGCAGCTCCCCGACCTCGCCGGATTCGTCGCGGACGTCCACTGCGCCTCCCTCACCCGT